TTGTGCCAAACCATGTCTATAACACACAATTTGCATCATTTCTCAATACTACAAACAATTCATCATAAATCATACAAATCAACTAAATATGATTAAAATTAAATCATTTTTGCCATATATTTATAATGAGTACTAATTTTAAAGCTATATTAACTTTTATATTAGCTTTAAATTAATACAGAATATTCTTGTCTGTTATATAAATAGCGTCATTGATTGACAACATTACTACTCAATATACGATATTAAATAGTGAATTATCTATTAATTATAACTTAATTAATATTTATAAATTGTGCGAACAATAAGTGATAGATTATCAAAATATTGTTAATTTATATCTTTTAAAGTGAAAAAATAATATTTAAAAATAAATGTAAAAATAAGATCAGTTTATAAATCAAAGCACTTTTTATTACTAATTGATTGCATATAAAAGTTTTATTAGTTTTACAAAAACGATTGAATTGATTGATAATTACTTGATATCTCTTGAGTAGAGACCAAACACGTGACAAAAATAGGTTAAACTTGCGGTCATCGAAACAGTTGTACCGATAGAGTTGTTCCAACTTNGGTATAGAGTGCTTATACGCAACGAATCGTTTTTATACCTCAGATGTGTTGTGTCCTTATCGGTGAAGATGTGAACGGCGGGCAATTTAGGACACGGATGAGCCAACACTACCGGATAACAATATACCTTTTTCGGGTTCTGAACCCTTAACGGACAGCTCTCTAGAAAGCGATACCAAATCATCGTTTCAATAATTGTCGACAAATTATATCCCAAATCAAATTCACTAACCTTTGAGTCCGTCTGCGGCCATGATTTCGGTATTCTTTTGATGGCATTTCTTCGCGTATTCACACGACAAGTGATATATTTTGGTACAAATGGCTTCGACGGAGCCTTTGGCGGCTTCGGTGATGTGCGGCTGACACTGCTGTTTGAGGTGAGAGAGCCTTTGCTGGTAGTCCTCGAAAGTGGCGTTCAATGTCTTGCGGATCCATTGGAAGGCGTCCTCAACGTTCCACTTGACAATCTTGCGGCTCTCGGACGACGCGTTTCGCGACTCAATCATCTTTTTGGCCGCCTCCGCGTATTTCGACAATTGCTTTCGCGCTTCGCCCGAGAATTTGGGTTTAAATAGTTTGATGGGAATGTCATTCATTATCTCGTTATACATGGCTCGCGACACCTCTGAGAAGCACTCGCTCGGCATCATTGGATCGCATCCCTTGTCCACCACTTTCCTCTCCATAAGCCAGCGATTGAACGACTCTTTGGGCGCTTCGATGTTCTCTCTGGAGTGACACATCTCGTGGAACT